TGCGAGCGGTGGACACGGGGAAGGGAAATCGGGGTTTCTTCCCGGGGACGGCTGGGCTTCCGTTTTGCGCCTGGCGGCTTTTGGAAAGGGTAGTGGGAGGCTGTCATTACTGGAAAACGTCTTTAAGGGATAACCCGGTGACCGCCCTTGGCCGGGCCGCAGAGGTTACAGGCCGGGGTCGCACTCCAGGCTCAAGGAGGGAAGCCGCTGCTTCTCTGCCAGCATCACATATTCGTCCAGGTTTCAGCGTTCTGTCTCCTCGTCGCTCTAGATTGGAAACCTCGTTCTCTTCCAAATCGCAAACCTTCTTGAGCCGGCCATTGCGCGCGCGTACACATTCACAAACACACACACACATCACTTAAAAAATGTAATACTGCATTTGTGCTTGGTTTCCAGGGTAGATATGTCATTAAGACGTTTCCAGATCTCAAGCAGTTCAGTTTCTCCACGCATCCCGCACTGCTTTTCATCGATCATATATATGGTTCAAAAAAATGTCGATCTAAAGCTGTGGGGACCTATTAGAGATTAGGATTTCATTTTTGAAATATCTATTCATTTATGTTTTTACAACGTAAATTGGCTTACAAAAATGCATACCAGATTCAGTTTTCTTTTTAGAAGTTACGCGAGAAAAATTGGGTTGAAGAAAAAGTAATGTTAAGAAAAATAAGATAATCCTGAGTGAGGTCGGTCTAAATGTTTACCTCTAGGGTTACCTTAACGGACGATAAAGCACAAGTAGCTTGAACCAAGGAGCCACCCTGCCTGAGTATTAATCCCAGCTCTACCACTTAACTGCATTTGTCACATTATGCAAGTTGATTGTCCCTGGATTTCCTCATGAAAAAAATGTGCCTCCTACATCGGGGACATTAGTGCAGACACGCATAGTGTTGTGAAGATTACATGAGGTTAGTGATGGTGAAAAGCAGTAAGAACCGTACCTGATAGTGCTGTATGAGTCTGCTCTTTCTAGAGGTAGGGCAAAAAATTTGGAACATTGGTAACAGAGGACAGGTGATAAATTAATGATTCCTTGAGTCTGTAAGAGAAAAAAGCAATTCGTTTTTCTTAGGAATACCATAGCAAGTCCCAGTTGTAAAGTAAGAGCAGAATTTTTCATGAGTCTTCCGTGGAAAGAAGACAGTACTAAGTGCAGTGTTCTCTTGGTCACCCATGTGGATGTCCCTCTTCATCCAAACCTGGGCTTGTTTCATTGGAGTCTGTCCCAGGACCTCACTGCTGTTTGTCCATCACTGAAAGCCCTCTGTGGTCTTCGGCCCATGACCAGAGCCTGTCTATACTCCACCTTCTAGCCATTCTTCCGGGAATCATTCTAGCTCACTCTTAGGTCCATAAATCTTTGTCCTCCCTGGTCATCCACTCACAGTGAAATACAGAGGACAAATTATGTTCAGTGCCGCTGCTCCCAAAGTCCACTAGATAGATGATACAAGTGTAATATGAAATGCCTGTGGGACTAAATTTGTCATTTACCTCCTAGCAATAGAATCATGGTGGCTGGACCCAGTTCTGTATTTTGAACATAGAATCCTTCCATCGACCATTCTTCACCTGTGGAATATATGTGAGAGCCTATATGGAACCAGGGCCTCAGAGGCTTGTCTCAGAATCTTCTCAGATTCTCAGAGTAGAGCCAGACAAAATACCTACTTGCCCTGTTGGAAGAATGCCAACAATAATGGCTTATAGCCCACGGGTGGCCATGGGCTTATTTAAAATGGTCTCGGACTGAGTCATCAGGCATTTTTTAAAATGCAAACACTAAAAAAAAAAAAAAAAAAAAATGCAAACACTATCTCGGGGTGCCTGGGTGGCTCAGTGGGTTGAGTGTCTGACTTCAACGCAGGTCATGATCTCGCGGTTGACGAGTTTGAGCCCCAGTTGGGCTCTGTGCTGACAGCTCAGAGCCTGGAGCCTGCTTCAGATGCTGTGTCTCCCTCTCTATGCCCCTCGCCCACTCATGCTCTGTCTCTCTCTGTCTCAGAAATAAAATAAACATTAAAAAAAAAATTTAAATGCAAACACTATCTGACTCTGCTGTGCTGTTAGGCTTGACCCCTATTAAGAAATTTGAGGAATCTGTAGCAACAGGTGACAATACATGAGAGCTTGATTTCTACAGAGGCCTATCTTGTCTAGTATTCTGCATTTTCCTGCTTTCAAAGTTACATTGTTTGATTAAGGCATGTATTATTCCCATATTTGATTGGCTCAAGTTTATAAAACAAGGGGCTATAATTTGGTGGGCATTTGGTCAGATTCACAAAAAGTGCTTTTTATCTAAATGCAAATAATGTTACTTAAGGCACAATGCTAAGAGAGCCACCATCTTCTAGAAAATAAGATGAGGTTACCCAAGAACTATTTGCATCAAATTAGCTAACTAAATCAATTCTTTAAGTTACACGTTTTTCCAACCCCACCCAGAAGGAGGACCAAGGAGTCTCTATTTTTGATAAAGACTCCCAGGTGCTTTTTAATTTTTTTTTTTTAATATTTGTTTATTTTTGAGAGAGCATGAGCTGGGGAGAGGCAGAGAGAGAGAGAGGGAGACACAGAATCCGAAGCAGGCTCCAGGCTCCGAGCTGTCAGCACAGACCCCCAACGCAGGGCTCAAACCCAAAAACCATGAGATCATGATTGGAACCAAAGTCGGACACTTAACCGACTGAACCACCCAGGAGTCCCAGGGCTCCCCAGGTGCTTTTGATGTGCAGGCAAGTTTGAGAATAACAGCTGTAGACAATAGACTAAAACTTTAATGCCTAAACTATATATATTTTAAATACCTCATTTACTTTACATAATTTTCCAGATTGGTGATATTCAGACTGGAACCTGCTATATGTAATATTACACCTTATTAAATAGAGTATATAGTAATTGTGCAGCTTTTTACTTCATGGCCATTTTCTAGCCCAGTGCCTTTAGATAGTGATTAAGTTTGAGAAATATAGTAATAGAATGTGTAAGTATGAGAAACGGTGTCCTAGGAGGAGAGGCAGGATCCAGTCTACCTAATCCTAGCAGTTTCGTGCTAAGCACTTTTGTTGGCGGTAATGTGTTCTCTTACTAGGGTATTGTCCTATGCCTTCTCAGCCATTGTATATTATTTATTCATTTTAGATTCATATATAGGCAGATGTATTTTGAGTTCATCTTTAGGTACACATTTTTACAGAAAACTGACAATGCAACTATGTTTTTATGGAATTAATGCAAATTAATTTTCCATTTGGTAGCTTCTAGTTCTATTCTTCCTCTTCTACCTTTTAGGAACTCTTAGAACTTAAAATTCCTTAAGTGCCATGAATGTCAGGTCAGGAAGAGATCAGGAATATCAATTCAGGAAGAGAGGCATTGTGATCTAATAGAATACAGAGCTTTGGAGCAAACCTGAGTTTGAATTCCAGCTCTGTACTCAATTTTAGGTTAAGGTGTTTTCTAATCTGTAAAATTAGGATAATAATAGTTATTTCATGTTACATATAAGACTATATGATGGCTCCGGTACCTAGTAGTCGTTCTCTGAAAGTAAATTCCCTCCTGCCCATATCTTTTATAAAATCACTGATTGATATTGAGATCTACCATGACATTTTTTTTAATGTTTATTCATTTTAGAGAAAGTGGGGGAGCGGCAGAGACAGAGGGAGACAGAATCCAAAGCAGGCTCCAGGCTCTGAGCCCGATGCAGGGCTCAAATTTAGGAACAGCAAGATTATGATCCAAGCCGCAGTTGGACACACAACCAGCTGAGCCACCCAGGTGCCCCTAGCATGGCATTGTTGAATGTGGTTATTTTTTTTAATTTCTCCCATATCTTCATTTACTTTCAAAAATTAGTTTCAGCTTTGTGCTGTAGCAGTATCACAGCTAATGGGGTTTATCCGAGTCACAATTACTGCTAAGTCAAAAATTAGTCTTCAATATTTATAGCTTTATCTAAAGAATTTGGTTTTTGGCATAATAGTATAATTATATTTTAGTATTGTAAGAGGTCCTAAAAGATTTTTTTTTTTTTGGTCTTAAAAAGATTTTACACATGTGTAAAAGTTTTAAGTTAACAGTAGGAGGATGCAAATACTCAGCTTTTACAGGTGGAATTTTTTATACTCTCCATTTCTCTGCACTGTACCATATCAGATCACTAGTGGAACTAGAAAAAAAGTTAATAAGTTGATTTTAGTGCAATGCAATTTTTAAACTTTTTTTTTTAAGTTTATTTATTTTTGAGAGAGAGACAGAGTGTGAGCGGGCAAGGGGTAGAAAGAGAGAGGGAGACAGAGAATCCGAAGCAGGTTCCAGGCTCTGAGTTGTCCCCACACACCCCGACTCAGGACTTGAATTCATGAACTGTGAGATTATGACCTGAGCCGAAGTCGGACCTTTAACCGACTGAACCACCCAGGCACCGCATAGTGCGATGCAATTTTTATATTAACCATTGTTACCTATATAATCGTCGAGTAGATTTTAAGTTGTATACTGCATTCTGATGCTGAGCAAATTTGAAGAGGCTTATTATGCTTTTAACATTTACTAAATTCAGGATTAGCTCTCTGTTTCAGATGCAATTAAAAACATTTTTTTTAATGTATTTATTTTGGGAGAGAGACAGAGGGTGTGTGCACGAGTGGGAGAGGGGCAGAGAGAGAGGGAGAGGGGATGCAAGCAGGCCCTGAGCTGTCCGCACAGAGCCCAAAGTGGGGCTCGACCACACCAACAGTGAGATCATGACCTGAGCTGAGATGGAGTCAGAAGCTTAACCGGCTGAGCCACCCATGTGCCCCAAAATGCAATTTTTCAAGATATTTCAAAGGCAGTTCCATTTCTGCTCATTCTTCTTTTTTGTTGTTGTTTGGTTTTTTTTTTAGCATTCATGATGAACGTAATTCAGATTGTTCGTGACTACTGGGTACATATACTTGTGCCTGTGGGATTTGTCCTTGGATGTTATCTAGACAAAAAGAATGATGAAAAGCTAACTGCCTTCCGGAACAAGAGTTTGTTGTTTAAAAGGTTAGTTTGTACGTTTGTTTTAAACCAACAATTGGCCAGCTTTTGGTAATACTCTTTTTAATACCATGTGTGCCAAAAATAAGCAGAAAGGGTAAATTTTCCCCCAAGAACTTCTATTCAAATGCTATCATTTTGTAGTATTATTTGTCGTTTAATCTTTGGATAAAACTGAGTGATTACCTTTCGAATAACAGATCTTCAGTTTATGAACAGGGTATTTCCGATGTTTGAATTTTTTTTTTTTTTTTTTTTTGGCATTCAGGGTACATTTGTAATATAGAAACGAAGTTTTAAACTAGCTCACCAAAGCCTACTTTAATGTGGCTTTCACATACATTATCAGATAGCATTTTACATAAACCAGAATGTAGCTGAAATATATGATACCAATAGTGGCTCAGTGCTGTGTTTGCAGCAACACTGCTGGAGAGCTCTAGACACGGTGGCCAAGTGATCAGAAGGCAGCTGACTGCTGCCTGATCCCGTTGTGTCTCTGGAGATGGCTTTTTTGTCAGCAGAGAGGTAGTTAGCAAGGCAGGGTGCCTGCCACTGGGTGTCACCTAGGTGGGAAGAAGCTCCGGGGACCAGAGGCTTGAGCAGCATTCACAGTCCCTATGTAGAGGGGGTCTATGGTTAGGGATTTCAAGAACGATCACATACATGAATTAGAAAGGGTTTAGAAAACCTCAAGTGAACAGAGGATAAAAGCTTTCATACAGACTAAGAAATTACGGTTCCTAAATCTAGAAAAATGAAATTGAAGGGCTGGTAAAAGTTTAAAATCATGAGAGAACAGAATGGCTCTGTTGAGTCTACATAAAAACTTTAATGGGTCAATTTAATAGAATATAAAATATTGAACTCATACTCTTCTTTTTCTCCCCCATGAAAGTTTAATTTATACCTTTTCCTTTCCTTCCTTTCTAATTTCCACACAGGGAATTGAGACCCAATGAAGAAGTCACCTGGAAGTAAAGGCTGTGACTGAAATACAGAATGTTCACATTTTAAAAATTGGGAGAGAAATAAAAACACATTCATTATTTAATTTAAAGTGTGATTCTTTTTATGTTGGAGTAATCTTCCACATTTCAAGTAATAGGCACACATAGCTTAAAAATAATTATTGACCGCTTGATTATGCACATTGATGTTAAATTTACAGTCAGCATTTCATTTTCTTTTCCCCATTTTAGACCATAGCACTGTTAAAACGCATAGCAATTTTTTCCTCAGGTATTTTTCAGAAAAATGTTTTCAAATTACGTGCTTTAGAAGGATGACACTAGCTGAAAATTTTGGTGACCTTGAGTTTGGCAAAGACTTCTTAAATACAACACATAAAGCATGAACTAGTTTTAAAAACTTTTGCTCTTCAAAAAATACTGTTCCAAAAATGAAAATGCAGCCATAAATTGGGAGAAACGTAATGTACAACAACTTATTATCTAGAATATGTAAAGAACCCTTCTACCTTAATAAGACAACCCAGTTTTTTAAAACAATTCACTTATTTTTTTAAGTAATCTCTACACCCAGTGTGAAGCTCAAACTCAACGACCCCCAGATCAAGAGTTGCACGCCCCACTAACTGAGCCAGCCAGACACTCCCAGCCCAATTTTTCTAAATGAGCAAAAGATTTTAATAGACACTTTACCAAAAAAGATAAGAGGATGGCAAATAAAGTACATGAAAAGACTCCCAACATCAGCAGTCATTAGGGAAATGCAAATTTAAGCCACAATGGTACCGTGACACACCTATTTGAATGGTTCAAGTTAAAAGATTGATGTATTTACCAGTGTTGGCAAGGAACTGGACCTCACACTGCTGGCAGGAGCGTAACCTGGAGTTGCCAGTTGTAGCACTTTGGAAATCCAGTTGTGTGGTTTCAAATGAGAAAAACACCTATCATATGCCCCAGCCATTCCGCTCTGAGATACTCATCCATAAAGGAGAGCCTCCTCTCACACAAAGACTTCCATGAATATGCATAATCCAATATTAAAGATAACCCAAATGTCAATCAAGTCAATACGCTGTGTTAAACCCATACAATGGAATACTACTTGGCATTAAAAAAAGGAATGATCTAGAGTGCCTGGGTGGCTTAAGTTGGTTGGGCCACTGACTTTGGCTCAGGTCCTGAACTCACGGCTCATGAGTTCAAGCCCCATGTTGGGCTCTGTACTGACAGCTCAGACCCTGGAGCCTGCCTCAGATTCTGTGTCTCCCTCTCTGCCTCTGCCCCACTCCCTCCCCCCCCGACCCTCCCCCACTCATGCTCTAAGGTAAATAAACATTAATAAATAAATAATTTTTAAAAAGGAATGATCTAATGTTTCAACATTAATGAATTTCAAATGAATTATCCAGGATGAAAGAAGCCATACAAAAAGCATACACTTTACGGTTCCACTTATATGAAATGTTAGAAACTGTAAACTATAGTAACAAAGCAGATCACTGATTGCCTGGAGGCACAAAGTCCAGAAAAGGGTTAGAGGTAAGAATGACCAGGGAGGGACAGCACCTGAGTGGCTTGGTCCATTGAGTGTCTGACTCTTGGTTTTGGCTCAGGTCATGATCTCACAATTCGTGAGTTCAAGCCCTGTGTGTTGGGCCCTGTGCTGATGATATGAAGCCTGCTTGGGATTCTCTGTCTCCTCTCTCTCTGCCCTTGCCCTGCTCTCTCCATCTCTCTCAAAAAATAAACATTAAAAAAAAATAATATGACTTACAAGGGGGCACAAGGAAACTTTGAGGAAACTTTGCTTCGGATGGTTCCATGGATGTATACATGTCATCTGTTGTATTCAACTACCTCTTCTCAGAAAACATTTTGTTTTAGATAATACTGGATTTAGGAGAAGTAATATTACAATGAAATGATACTCCCTAATTATCAATGATTCTTGTCAGGACTCTGGACACTGAATCTGACACACCTTCAATTTTAAAATGTGAAATGGTTAAAATTCCGTTAAGCTATTTGGTCTTCAGTAACAACAAAAGGAACACCAGATTAAATTTAGAATATACGGTGTTCAAGAAGAAAGAAATATCTGTGCAATCTCACTTGTTGACATAAAACTCCAATGAAGTAGATTAGAGAAAATCTGAGTGGCCCAAGGTGGCATAAGGAGTCTACTAGTAGTGGGTCTGTTTGGTCTGCTGTCTCACCAGCAACTCTCCTGATTAGCTCAGTAACTTCTCTCTCCCACTGAATTATCGTAATACTTTCCTGTGCCAATCAGTCAAAAAGAATTCATGCATTTATTCACTGCTCTGTACCAACCCTTGATACAAAGACTAAGACTTCTCTGCCCCTCAAAAGCTAATAGTTCAGTAGCATATAAAGTAATAGGTCCAGTATGGCGTAATGAGTGCATTCCTATAGGCATGTGCAAGGTATAGTGGCACAAAGGACTTCGTTAGAAGACTCTGGAAGTCAAGGGAAGCAGCTAGTGTGATGAGCAGGGGGAATTCTGGGAGATACAGCTGGACAGGTAGTTGGTCCAGGTCACTAAGTGCTTTATAAGCCAGCAATGGGAAGCCACTGAAGGATTTTAGAGTAAGATTTGTGTAATTAGTAAAGATCCCTCCCAATATAAGCTCCATGAAGATGGGACTGTTTGTTTCACGGTTACGGTCCTAGTGCCTGACACATAGTAGTATTCCATTTGTTAAAAGGAAGAAAAACTGATGAGATTTGCATGTTTGAGAGATCATTGACAGTACTATGAATCTTACATATTGAGACTGGAATTAGAAGACCAATTCAGAAATCCTCAAACCAGGCTGGCTACACAACAGACCAAGAGGGCTTGAACTACCAGGAGCAATGAAGAAAGAGGGGAGACGGTGAATACACAACATTTGAGGACTGACCAATGCAAAGAGTGAGGGGGAAGAGTTAGGGGATCACGAATCATTCCCAGACACTTGGCTTCATTAATTCATTTGAAAGACATCAACTACCAAATGGTCATAAGACATGGGCCCTGCCATCATGACATTTATAGGATGTTGGGGAAGATGTATGGTTAAACCAACTATTATGATACTGTGTAAAAGTGACTATGTATGATAGAGGCACCTACAGGAGCTCAGAAGGGGGAGAGGGACTTCTAAATTCAGTGGAAAGCAGGGAACATTTTCTATAGGGTATAGTCATTGAGTTTTGAAGGATGATATGAGTTACCTTACAAAGTTAAAAGTTTAGGATGTGCTGAATAACAAGTGGAATTATAAGAATAGGAAATGCAACACATTTAATATGCAGATCATACACTGTTCCAATGGCAAAGCCAAAACCAGAACTTTCATTCTGACTCCCAGGCATCAGTCTTTTCACTTTACAATGTTGCCTATTAATCACATGCTCAACAGGTGGGGAAGCCCTAATGAAATGATTAGTATTAATTCAACATCACTGAATATTGCCGGGAGGATTTAAGAGGGAACGAAACAATGAGTCCTTCAGCATATTGTTCATCCTAGTAAGCAGTTACTCACTAGAGAGAGTTAAAGCATGTCCTTCCAAAACTCAAGTCCACCCAGAACCAAAGACCTTGTTTGGAAGTAGGTTCTTTGCCAATGAAATTAGTTAAAGATTGCAGCGTGAATTAAGGTAAGACCTAAATCCAACCATTGGTATCTTATGAGAGGACAGAGACACACAGAAGGAAGATGGCCACGTAAAGACCAAAGCCAAGGTTGGAATTCTGCAACCGCAAGCCAACTAATTAATAATGCTAGGAGCCTTTAGAAGCTGGAAGAAGGAAGGATTTCTCCCTGTGGCTTTGGAGCATGGGCCTGCTGACACCTTTGTTTCAGACATCTGGCCTCAAGAACAACAAGAGAATACATTTCTGTTTTTAGCCACCAAGTTTGTGATGATTTGCTGCGGTAGCCATATAAAATGAATATAATCACATTTTTTTCTGAATAAGTAATACAATATAGTTCAAAAATCAAGAATAAAATTGTATACTGTGAAAAGTCTCCCTCCCACCCCTGCCTATTTGCCTAGTTCCCTTCCCATCTCAAACATGTAGGTAACCTCTGTGTCTCCTATATAGTCTTCCAGAGATTTGTAATGTATATAAGCAAAAAAGTAAACACATGTTTCTGTACATAGACACAAACTTTCTTTTAAAAAAGTCAGGAAAAAAAAGTGGTTTGCATATTTTTTCACTTCGTGAGATCATGATTTGTTTCCCCAGTCAGTCCACAGTTCCTTAAGAACATGCATGGACTGTTTCCCCAATATGGGATTGTGGACTGTGCACACAGCATCATCTGATAAATGGTAACTAAATCCTATCCCAGAGCACCCGGTCCTCACTGGACTCTCCATTTCCTTACCTCCTGCTGCCCCTTGTGTTCCTCTGAACCTGCACTCACCAAAGTCAACAATAGTCTCCATAGCAACACAATTTAGTGGAATCTTGCTAAGTCCTGATGTTGCTGGACCTCTTGGCAGCAACTGATACTGACTGCTCCTTGAAACGTTCCCTTCTCAGGGCTTTGATAACTTTACACTCCCCCGCTTTTTCCTCCCTTCTCTTCCACTACTCCTTCTCTACCCTCAAGATTCTGCTTTAGATCCTCTTCTCGAGCTCTTCCTTTTCTCCTAGATGATTTTATTCACTCCTGTGAATAACTCCCTGCTCTATAGCAAAACCAAACCCCTGAAATCCAGACTATCTATCTTTTAAAAAATACTTATTTATTGGAAGAGTGCAAGCGGGGGAGGAGCAGAGAGAGGGGACAGAGGATCCAAAGCAGGTTCTGCACTTACAGGGTGACATCAGCAAGCCCAAAGTGGGGCTCCAACAAGATCATGACCTGAGCTCAAGCAACAGAGCCACCCAGGTGCCCCTATCTATCTATCTATCTATCTATCTATCTATCTATCATCTATCTATGTGCCCACCCATTACTTTTCTCATGGATCATAGGTTTGTCAAATTCAACATCTCTAAGAGGTAACCTCTATCTTCTCTTTCCCAAAACTTGCCCTTCCTCCTGCTCCTGCCACA